AACTGCACTAGGAGCACCATATACCTATACCTAACAGACTCTCCTCAAACCTCAAATTATTCAGAATTCTTTCTAGCACCGTAATAATCCAAACACTTCTGACACTACCTACTCAAAACTTACAATCCTACCATTAGTGGAAGAAGCTTCCATGGTATCAGAAAACAACATGGAAACATCTACATTGACCATTACACTATTGTCATCTTCCAAAAGGTCCCATATACAACTGGTAAAGTTGGAGAAATTAGAGTTTCTGCAATACACCTAAATGAAATTAAAAAACTCCTTACACTTCAGTAGATTCTAGCATTAATGTACCACTGCTAAGAACAAGAAATCAAGTAGATGAAGGCCTGGATTCTATATAACCATGATGAAGCCCATTGCTTAAAGCATAAGGATCCCCCTTCACAACTGGAGGAAAAGGTTGTCATATCTAGGTTAGTCTAGTACAAACTCAAAAGACTCTTGCAAGTTTCCAAGAGATAATCTTCTAGATTGCTACACTAAAGGATAGCTCCAGTAAATGTAATTAAAATATGTTTGAATATTCTCGAACATATTGTGTATAAATGTATATAAAGATTTTTTGTTGTTGTTCATAGATTGTTGTTTTGTAGTGTATGAAATCTATCATAGGTGCACTTGTACATGTGTATATTTAATTCTTGTGAAGTGGTTTTTTGTTTTGTTTTGTACTTTGCACATTGTTTTTAGATGTAAGTAATTAATAAACACTTTTTTATTATCTATTTCAGTACTTTAAACAGTTATTTTAGCGCATTTTAACATATTTTGATTTATTATTATTATAGATTCTGAGCAGTTTTTACTTTGCAATGTTTGTTTTAGTTTATTATACAGTGAAGGTATTTTTGTGTGGTTATGGTTATTACGTCAGGACTTGTACCATATAATATTTTGATGTGGTTTTGTAAAGTATTTGTTTTATTTTCTGCTCAGTTAAAAGTAATTTTTCTTATATTTAATTTTGAAATGTATTTCTTTGTTTTGTATATAATTTTCTATATGGTAATTTGTTTTAATTGTTTGTATTGTATCCAGTCTGTTTTGGATCTTCTGATGTAATTTGTGATCTCTTGTTTGTTTTTCTTATAAAGTAGCCTTTTTACATTGAATTTGTATGTATTGTTGTGCAAATGTTTTGCAAGGGTAAGAGCAAATTATATTGATTTCTTGACCAGTATGAATGTTTGTTTAACCGGATTGTAAGTTTGAAAGTTAGGGACAGCCGGGTCAGCCTGAGGTGAAATGGTAAAGGAGAAATATTATCTAAATGCTTACTATTGGTTTTCGACTCTCATTAATTAATAAAATTTGCTTTTAATTTCTATACGTACTGAATATGTATTCTTATTATAGAAAATAGTTTAAAGTAGCTACTCTTTCCCCAGTTACTACTGAGATGGGTCAGTCAAACAGTGTATCACACATGCTTTCTATTATAAAAGATTGTTCTATCATAGCGTATACTATATGGAAAATGACAGTAATATTTTATACTGGCAAATCAGGTGATCCCCAGACACATAACATTTTGCTTTGGAATGAGAGTGATTGTCATTCATGTGGATGGCGCCTTCAGAAGAATGGCATTGTTGTTTTCCTTATATAATGTCATGTTTTCTCAGTCTGGAACAAGATGAATGACAGAAACATTGCTCTGATTACAATAGTTACTGATTCACTTTAAGATATAACGCACACTAGTAAAGATGCCACAAACCTTTTGCCTTTAAAACTCGTTATGTGTTTGTGGGTGTTTGAGAATAAGCATTGTTTCACTATGTGATACATTGTGTCCAGTCTCAATCTTCGCTTCAGACTCAGTCGAGATTAATAGAAGTCAGATTTTGCTTCATAAAAAACAATTTCTGTCGAATCATCAGTTATTCTAGAGTTCTTATCAGACTATTCGAAGGTAAATCAGTGAATACCACATAACCACACTTTCTATATAGTTCGGATGGGTAGGGGGGTATATATGTGGCTCATAATACTTCTGTATATATTCAAAGCCCTCTGGCATAAAAATATATTCATATACCTACCAATTTTTTGCATTGAAATGCGACCCATGTGTCATTTGTTATCTTATGTAAGAGTCAGCCTGGATCAACCATAGGTTTTATGTTTTTCTGGGGTAAATATATGTAGCTCATAATGTTTTTTGTATATAATCAGAGTATTCTGGTAAAAAGTGGACTCGTGGATCCCCACTTTACTTTTCTTTGCGTGGGTTGAAAATTTTCTGTTTGAAGATTATACTTTATGAGATTCATTCGAAATTTTGTCACAGCCCGGCACATTTTCATTATTTATCTTACAGAAAAAAATATATTTTAAATCAGATTTACTTTTCAAAAAGTCTTTCTTCCTCATGAAATTCCATTAAGAGCTGGAGTTGTGTTTTCTGACTGGTATTGGTCTAGGAATTTTATAAAGATCTCTTCAAGTGGTCTCAGACACTTCATATACCACAATTCCTCAATGACCCTTAGACCATGTCCCCTTCACATTGAGATCGAATCTTATCAGGAGAACTTATCAACAGACGATTTGGGTGCATCAGATGTCAGCAGTTTTTCCTTCTGAGTCATGACTCACATTTAAATCACAGGCGTGGACTTTCACAGTATTGGCAAAAGTCCAATGCCCAGGAAAGGACTGAACTCTTCATTTAGGTGATACATTCTTCTCAAACTAAGCAATATTTTTAATATAATGACCAAAGAGTTCAAGCTAAGGACAGCTTTAATAACTACTTAGCAAAGTCTGCAATACAGCAATATCCTGTGGTCACAGCAGCAAAAGTTTTTGTTCCTTATCCAACCTCTGGTATATTCAGGTGAACTGAATGAACTCAAGAGATATATTGGATAAGTCTGCCAAGCAGATAGGAGATTTAGTCAAGATATGATATTACAAAAGTGCTAAACTTTTCTAGCTGAGGAATAAATAGAATGGACAGAATGAAAACAATTTTTATTTACATGTAAAGACAAAAACAGAGTGTGTATACTTGCTTATATGATGTTTTATAGTCGCTTTCTTAAAATGTTTCTAAAACAGGATTATCCATTTAACTGATTAAATATAAGGTTTTTAGTATTGATGAAACCTCTACTTTACGCAGCATGATATGTTCTATCATGTGACTGGTCATTGTTCTTACACAAAGGTGGGGCAGTAGTCTGTAGATATTATATTACATGTATAACCATTGAAAGACACTGCTGTAACTTCCTGATACTAGGTGACTGTAAACTATGTTCTCCACGCGCAGTAACAGTTATTACAAACTTTAAAAATGAGAAAGGAACAAAAGTAATTTGAAACAAGATCAACTTTATGCTTTTCCTGACCACGTGTTACGTGAACTCCTACGTATATTCTGAAAAACGAATAAATTCAGAATAAACAATAATGCTACAGAAAGAAATAAACCCATGATATATATTCCTATACCACCTGCACAAACGTTGAAGAACACTGCTGTCGAAATCCATAAACAATGTGTCGTTTTATGATAGCTAGTATTATCTATTCTGAGAAGAACAAAGGTAGTTTAGAACAATAATAACTTAACGACTTTCTTGATCACATGTGTCAAACTTGCACATATACAGAACGAATAATAAATTATGTAATATTATAAGAGGATAAAAACACATGGTACATTCAAATACAACACTGCGAATTACATTTTGTAGCAAGAAAGGTGCGAAGGACAAATGAAGAGTATATGTATTTATTTAAAACTGGAAGGATGGTTAAATATATTGAAACTTATGGTATGTGTGTGTGTGAGGGGGGGAGGATAATGAAGACACTCATCATAAATAGCAAAAAAGACTAGTCTTTGTAGATTTATTCATTTTTAGATTGAGTCTGGCGTGACCTAGGTTAGTGTTCTGTATTGTGAATTTATTCACAAAATGAAGTTCCAAAACTGTGTCTGGGTTATAAGGGTGACTGTTAAATCCTTATATTCGATCAGAATAGCCGAAGAGTCACCGGTGAGTATTGCAGACTGGGTTCCTTCCTTATAGTTTATAAACTCGAAATTGGGATGAGTAGCATATCTATCCCATGAGGAAATTTGCATGAATATCTGAAAAAACAAAACAAAAAAACGTATTTGTTTCTTCTTTGTGAGTGCGATGATGAAAAACGTGAGATGTGTAGGATAACAGGAAAAGTAAGACACACAAAAAATCGTCCTTTTAGAGAAATCTGGTGAAATTGAGAGTGGAGAATGCACCCTTTCAAAATATTTCGGTATGAAACAATGCAAGCAAACAACGTTCTTTTTTTTTGTTGTTGTTTTGTCGAATTTCGCCCAAGCTACTCAAGGGGTATCTTCGCTAGTCGTACCTATTTTTTGAAGTGATAGACTAGACTAGAGGGAAGGCAGCTAGTCAACAACACTCACCTCACCGCCAAATCTTTGGATACTCTATTCCAACAAATATAACGCCCTCACAGCTGAAAGGGCAAGCATTTTCGGCAACGGTTTTGTTCCTGAGATTAGCATTCGAACGCCGTTGCTGCAATGTTAACAAACAGTGAAGAATTTACAAAACATTTATTTGCTATTGGGCCTGCTATAGTGCCGTAGTGTGCAAATTTTGGAGCGCAACTATGACTGTAGGAAAATATAAATTACATATGAAAGTACAAATTTAAAAGTAAAGAAGTTTTAAAAACTACCGTACAAATATTACAAGTACGAAGGAATAGAGTAATAACAATTAACATGGGAAAATGACATTTAAACTATTTACACAAATGACTTATATGGGGGTAGAGGGGAGGGATGCGCACAATCAAACACCCTCTATGTTTAATTGTTAGTACGACTTCCAGTAAATGACAGTAATACTATTAAATAATAATAGTAGTATTACTAATAGAACTAACAGTAATTGGTTTGGATGAGGCATTAAAATTGCATAAAGGAGAAAACATGTTTGATGAATAAACTTAAAAATTATACTCTGATAATATAAGTTATATGTATATATATGTAAAAACAAAACAGGATACAACCACTCTCAGATTTCTTTGAACCGTAAGTTAGAAACTTCTGTCGGCCTGACGATTTGCTGCTATTTACAGTATGTCTTGCATAAGATTTGGTCGTTTAATAAATGATGAAGAGTCAGAAGATGAAGTTAAAAGGAAAAGTTCTGGTAAAGATATATTTTAATCTGCAGTGCATTAAATTTTTAAAAGAATATGAACTCTCATAGTCATAGTTGAAGAGCCTTTATATATTATAAAGCTATATATTAATGTAATTTACGAGTGTACGTTGTGCTGAGTTTAACTTTTAAGTTTAAGATTAACATAACTTCATCAGTCTGAAGTCAAGATTAAATTTTTATTTATGTAAAAAGTTATGTTTAAGCACCGAAAATTGGCGAAGCATTAGGAACGAATAGGCTTAAAATTTGTTATATAAATCACGTAAAATGTTTGCTTTTTTAAAAATTTTCCTAATTTGTCTCTAGGATTCAAAATCAGAAGCTTGTTGAAGTTTGAATTGGAAAGTTGAATCTGAAATGTAGAAATTAGGAGAATGTGGAAAAAATATGCATTTTACATGATTTTTTAACGTAAACTTTAGTAATGAGTTAGTTACCATCCTAGTACTACTAGTAGTAATTGCAAATATAATAGTACTTCTTTCCGCTAACACTCAGTCACAGAACCACACACTAAACGGCAATAGTAATTACTATATAGACCATTGAGCTGAGCATGACGAACACGTAACACTAACAACAATGACGTGTTTATAGTTATACAGTGACCCACAGAAGTAAAATGCTTTATACGTATAATGAGAATAAAAAACAGCTTAAGGCATATATGGTTACCTTTTCTAATTAAGTTAAAGTATAAGAAATTATGGTTTCCTTAAAAGTTCAAGTTACAATACAACTGTAGTGCTATGTAAACCTATTCAGAGCTTCATTTTTTGTTACATATTTGTTTACTTTTAGAAATGACTATACATCATTACCTAGGTGACACTATGAACCATGGTTAGTAACCAAAGTAAAGATATTAAAATTTTTGTCACAGAAATATGATTGAACCATTAATACACATCACTTTGAGGATTAACTGGTAATAGAACTGTTTAACTTTAAGTTAACAGGTGCAGATACATGTACTACTAGTAGTCTGTTTAACTTTCTATTAAATGGTTTTTACAGTAGATGTATAGTTATTGTGAAAAGTGTAAATGTTACTTTTTGTGTGAACTTATTTCACGGTTTATAGATTAAATCAAGATAACTTTAACTTCAAAAATTTCCTACTACATGTATTATTGATACTGTTGATTAGTAGTACCACAACTATGTAATTTGAAAATACTATGGAGTTATGTCAGATAAGTCTGCCAAACAGGAGGTTTGATTTGGAGATGGAACAATGAAGTAATGATAAAAATGCTTAATAACCAAGCCTATGCTATGTGAAATAAATAGGCTGTACAAAACCTGATGAAATAAACAGCCTCTGACAGAATGCTAAAAAACTGTGTGTACCTGCTTAACTACAGACAGTCACACACTACCATATTAAAAAGCAGGGTGATGCTCAGATCAGATTTGGAACTATACTTGAGAATTAAGTAAACAAAAAGATTCTACTGAAAATGAAACCTCACATTTATCCAGCATGATTGGTCATTATCATTTCAGTTAGGTGAGGTTAAAACTTCTAGATATTACTTGTATAGCCACTGAAGGGCATTACCCTTGATGTCCTAAAATGTAGGTGATTTGAAACAAGATAAACTTAATGATTTTCTTGACCACATGTTATGGAAAACCTGCACGTATTCAGAACTCAGGATAATTTCAGAATAAATATTGATACCAAAGAAAGAAGAAATCTGTGGTATATTTCTATGTCACAGATGTATACACATTTAATTACAGTTAACTAATTCCTAATAACTTAAATAAATGCAAGATAATGCATGAGGGTTACGAAACTTTAGCGACACAAGTCCTTACTTAATAAAACTGGTTTATTCTTTCTGAATATAACTTTACCGATACACTTATTTTCAACAGTCGCTCTTTTACAAACGTTAACTTCAACAATACTTCCTGACTGCAGTTCAATTACTCACTACTTACACACACTTTATGAGCTCGTCACGTTGTGACCATCTTACATATACCAGCTACCCTATATCTAGTAATCTCCCGACAACTCCCGAAGGTTCGAGAGAAGGAGTGGTGTGATATAGTCACGTGACCTCGCTGACGCAACACTATATAGAGAAAACTTAGTGGTCCCCTCGACTGACGTTATATATTAAGAATAAAACCTGTAATGTTCTGAAAATTTGAAGAAAAAAAAGTAACTACGGAGATAGAAAACACATCATATGTCCAGATATCACACTACAAAGTGCTGAAAATCTGACAAACATATGTTTATTTATATTGTAAATTACTATAAATACGACAAAATACATTCCACTTATGAACTATGAACTCGCTTAGCCTTAATTAGTTGAGTATGTTGCAATTTTAATTTTACTATTAAGTCCACCTCTATGAAAATTATCTATATTTAAATGAAAGTAATAATATTTTTAGATCCCTTAATACCTCATTTATCCTTGTTGTGTTCAACCATAGTTTGTAACTCTCACAAGTGATTTATCTGTAATTAATCTATATCCGATTAATATTTTTCATCATAAATTTAGCAAAACTTTTATAAATCTAATTCAATCTAAAGATTTTTATTTATTAAATAAATAATATAAAAATAGCGAAATAAGCATCAACAAGTTTTCTTGGGACTACTTCACGTCTCGCAGGTAGATAATTGAGAGGCTGGTCGTATAGTGATTTGTATCTGAGAGCAGTAAGTTTAGAATCGCGACGAACTTCTGGGTGACGGTTGTGGCGTAACGTTGCTGTTGAAGCTTTAACGATAATATCGATACTGGAACAGTTTCTTACGAATTGCTGATTTATATATCGGCATAAATTCTGCTAAACCAAAATGTCCCAAGTTAGGGATGTTATCGAACAAAATGGACCTAACCAAATCGTCCGTATTCGCAGGGACAGCGAAACTAACTTGGACGACTTGTTTAAAGCTGTGTTACAGCCAAAAGACAGTCAGGTTCAATTAAGTCGAAGGACTGTTCCGATGAGACTTAGAAATTTGCCACCGTCATTTTTCCAACAACCAGAAACAAAATCTGCATCTCACAGCCGAGAATCTAGTTCTGATACAACATTTTCTCCGTGTGTGAGTCCAGTCCCAGGTGCCTCACCCTCTCCCCAAGGTGCTCAACATTCAAGTAATAATATACTTCAAGTGCATCATCCTCGAGCAAATTCATCGCCTGCAACCCTTGAACAAACGTATAACCAAAATACTGGGCAGCAGCATCAACACTTTAGACAACACAGTTACGACAATATTATTGATGACGTACCTTTGCCGTCAGGCTGGGAGATGGCAAGAACACCTTCGGGTCAGCGATATTTTCTCAAGTAAGTAATGTCCAGTTTAGAGAATAAATTTACTTAACCAGTTTAAAAATTGTTTATGGCTATCCAGAAGTTATTTTTGATGTAACACAATGAATAAACCTACTAAGCAAAATTAAGTTAATTAACCATGTACGTAACATCTTGTAAACATTATGTTTCGGTCTGTTCACATGTAGCTGCAAAAAACTGATGGGCCCCCGAGTATGAAAATTTGACATTAAAGACGCTGTATGAATATTAATTGGGTTTTCTTCCATCCTGCATAGGCAGTGGAATAAGTAAATTTGAAAATGTAAACTTAATTATTAGGGGTAATAAGGTTATTTGGTTTGACGAAGAAATGAATGGAATTTCTTGTTTCCAGAAGGACAAATATTTATAAGATGGGAATTTTGCCTACTCTTAAAACTTCTTTATTTACATTAACACGTTAACTTTATCTAACAAATGTTGAAAACACAAAAATGATGAAATTGCTTTTAATACTGCTTATAATGTACCCATACAAATGTTACAATTAACATTCCACCTTCGTTCATTCTGATTAAAGGGTAGTGTATCTGACGATTTTGGGGGAATCCTAAATACCTTTAAATATGGAAACTGATCTTGTGAGCCTGTGTTCCTTTTATTGTTTGAGACCCAAGAACCATGTTGCTAACATTTTATATCAACACAGTTTCTCACTGTTATTGTGCCTGCATGTTATAGGAGTTATAAAGCTAGTACAGATGAGTCACTCTGTCATGCTGAATCCAAAGAGAATACACCTTATTTGAAACATGAAAGACTAAATCTGTGCATAGAAAATACTACTGATCTACACATATACAGTTCAAACTGAGAGATGTTTCCAAGTATATGATGATTTAGCTGGCTTATCATCATTGTCAAGGATAACAGATATTATTAACAGTTGTGGGAAGTCCAAAGCTGTATTACTTACTTTAGTTTTTTTTTTCATCAACTTCTTTTTTTTTTTGGCTATGTCTTAAGACTCTTCAAGCTATTAGTGTGTTTGTTGGGTTGTTTCACCAGTTTAAACATATGTTATACAATATAAAACTCAGCTTCTTTATTATCTATGAGAGCAGACTGATAGCAGTTGCAAAAAGCACTGATAATTTTTATGTAGTATCCTAGAGAAGGAATGCACTGGTTGGTAAACACCATGTTCAGTAACTTACACAACTTTATGCAACCATTTTTTGTTCCTCCCACCCAACACACTTTTGTGATAAGTCTTGGAAAATTTATTCCTTTATAGAATTCTGGTTATCCTCTCTTACAAAAAGTTGACATCTACTTTTACACCCTGTTCATAAATAAAATCCAAAGTGTTCTTAAATCAGTCCTTTATCTACAGTGGCTATATTCTGGTTATCCCTCTATTACAAAAAGTTGACATCTACTTTTACACCCTGTTCATGAATAAAATCCAAAGTGTTCTTAAATCAGTCCTTTATCTACAGTTGCTATATTGTATGCCTCACTCAGGTATGAGTGTTTTCAACATCTTTTTGAAATGTGATAAATAATATCTGTACCATTAATTCACCCATCAGCAAGATCTCAAACAAGGACTAACACAAGTTACCCAGTGGTTAGATGTTGGTGTTGCTTCTGCAAACTGTAGTTACACTTCTGGAATGTATACTTACCACTGGCCCCCCAGTGGCACAGTGGTGTGTCTGTGGACTTACAACGCTAGAAACCGGGTTTCGATACCCGTGGTGGGCAGAGCACAGATACTCCATTGTGTAGCTTTGTGCTTAACTTCAAACAACAACTACTTACCACTGTTCAATGTCTGCATCCATGTTTATGCCATCTAATCTAACAAAAACAGCTGAAAAACTTTTACAATTCTATGTGTTTGTAATTCTCTTTAAATACACAACTCTAGATATGTAGGTAACTAAAAATTTATGTAAAACAAGTTTACTATGATTAGGAAAGTGTTGCGTAATAGTCTAAGAGGAGATTCTCAAAAGAGTTCATCTTTCAAGATTTGTTCATCACCCTAAAAGGAAAAGGTCTAACTTGATTTTCTGCTAGCAAAAACCTTCCTAAACATTTATGTGTATGTTGTAAAGTCAGTGGTGTAAGTTTTTTCTGTGACACTTTGTTTCAGGATACCCTGTGCTCCTAGCCAAGACGTGTTCATCCAAAATCAGAATTACAACACATTTTTCTATTAGCCATAAGATCATAACTAAAAGTCTTACGAATTTCACATTTTGAGCACTAAGTCTCCCAATAACATTTTTTATTGTGAAGAATTAGCTTATATTATTAACCAGTCAAAAGCTACAAAAGAAATATTGTATGTAAAATTATTTTCTCCCCAAAACTTCATTTTTGCAAAAACTAGAAGACCTTGCTGAACGTAGCCAGATTGTGATTTACAATAAATTGCATCAATACTAAACTAATTTGAGTAGCAGGAGGCAAAACATTTTTCTTTTTATAAATAGAAGGGCTTAAACTAATTTCACTTTACAACAGATTATAATTTCTATATGCACAGGGAAAAACTTGCTTCATCATCAGTTTATAGCTGTAGTCATATTTCCAAGTAAAAGTAACCAGTAATGTATTTTCTGGTACACTATATACTTTCAAGAAAGAGCTAGTCTGAATAAAATTTTGTCTAATGATGCACTGAATTCTGCTTTAAAATAATGCACCACCTAATATACTACAACTTGAATATAAGCAAAGCAGTCTTTGGATTTAACTGGTCATTGTTGAGACACTGGATATCCTCATTGTTATATATGTTCAAGTTAAATGTTGACAGCTTTAGAGTAAGAGCATCTGTGGTCTAGAAATACTGAATTTTACAGTGTAATACGTGTTATTGTGAACTGTGTGTTTAGAAGACTAAAATATCTCATATTGATCTAGAACTAATGTGTTTGTAAGTATGGCTAAAACACATTATAAGTGATATGTTGCACATATATTAGACCATGTTTTATTTGAATTGAACTGAGATATACAGACTAGTTTCATCAAGTATATGACAAGCTTATGACCAACCTTATGAAGTACATATACATATATTCAGTGTACTTTGCATGTTGGTGCTTTCCTAGTTTTGATTGCAATAGATAAAGAGTACAATAGCCTTTCATAAATATTTTCTTTCTAAAGTAATACTTCATGGCAGAATATATATACATAATTGTTAATATTTCCAAGCAAAAATATTTTGTTTCAATTTATAGGTTGGGCTAAAAGTCTGGGCACCCCCCCCCCTTCTAATAAAGATAAGTGTACATGAAAGAAACAAATTATTGCATATTGACATATTTACATATCTCATATTGATGTAGACTAACAAAAGGTTTGATTAATAATCCAAAATGTCTGCCTGTTGGCCTTCATTTCCATGTTCGATGTGACATCCCCTTATAATATTAGGGGTGGCCTTAGTGAAACTTTCAACTATTTTTTGCTTCAAAGCATCAGTTGTTTCATATCATTCCTTTGCCACAATTAATACTAAAATGTGAAAAACTAAATTGTTAACATAAGGAATGTGTACAGAACTTTTTGTCTGCCCTATACATGTAGTGTGTGTTTAATGTTAACATAAGGGGTGTGTCCAGAACTTTTTGTCTGCCCTATACATGTAGTGTGTGTTTAATGTTAACATAAGGGGTGTGTCCAGAACTTTTTGTCTGCCCTATACATGTAGTGTGTGTTT